ATGGATAAAGGTTTGAGGGCCCCTTTATTCCCCTTCCTCATTCTGTGGGTCTGGAGGCAGGTTGGCCCTGGACTCCAAGGCTGCAGCATGGTCCAGAATCAGGGTGATGGCCCTAGGCTGCCACTGGAAGAACTTCTCCAACTGGGCATGGAGGTGATCTTGGGCATCCTCTGCCTGCTTCTGTGTCACAGCTGCCCGGTCTGGCCTCAGACTAGACCTGCTGCCAGTCCCAAGCTGCAGTGGAGAGCAGCTCAGCCACCTGCTCCCTTGCTGCTTGCAGGCCCAGCCATGCGCAGTCCCACTCCTCCAAAATAGGAGCCAGGTGAGGCATGTGGGCTGCACCAGCAAGGGAGCTGGTGCTGGGGCAGTGGCCCAACTCTGATGCAGAATAGCATGGGGCTAGCAGCAATGGGTGGGAGGGGGTTGGGTTTCACTCCCCGCACCTCCCAGGTGCTGCCACCTCAGATGGGACTACAAAGCTGTGGTCCCTGATTTCCTCTCCTAGTACACCAAGCAGTCACTGTCATAGTGGTGACAGATAGCCACATTCAGCTGCCCTGCCGCCATGGTGAAGTGCTCACACCCTATGGTGCACTGGCAGCGCCTTCAGGAGCATCAGTAGGATCCCTCCTTCTCCCCACTTGTCCTTCTCATCTGACCTTCCTCCCGTTCATACCTTATTACTAGGGGCCTACCAAATACATGGCCGTGGAAAAACACGTCACAGACTGTGAAATCTGGTCTCCCCTATGAAATCTGGCTATTGTAGGTGGCTGTGGTATTGCCACCCTTATTTCTGCTGCTGCTGGTGGCACTGCCTTCAGAGCTGGGTGCCCGGCCAGCAACCGCAGCTCTCTGGCCATCCAGCTCTGAAGGAAGCACCGCCGCCAGGAGCAGTGGGGAAGTAAGGGTGGCATGGTATGGTACTGCCACCTTTACTTCTCTGCTGCTGCTGGCAGTGTCACTGCTTTCAGATCTGGGTTCCTGGCCAACAACCATCACTTTCCAGCTGCCTAGCTGTAAAGGCAGCACAGAAGCAAGGGTGGCAATAACGCAATCCCCCTACAATAGCCGTGTGAACCCCCTCACCTGACCCTGTTTTGGGTCGGGACCCCCATGGTAGAAACACCATGAAATGTAAGATTTAAATATCTGAAACTGTGAAATTCAAGATTTAAAAAAAATGCCATGACAGTGAAATTTACCAAAATGGACCGTGAATATGGTAGGGACCTACCCATCATTGCTTTTCGGTATGTGAAAGATTTTTAAAGACAGCTCCCTCTCTCTTCCCTTTCCTGCGTGGAATGACTAATTAATATCAAAATAGCCACTAGTGCACTTCCTGTTACAGGTCAAAATATTTTGGTATTTCCATTCTGCAAGAAACTTTGGCTTTTTGCCCCAATTCAGAACAAAACTTCAGGGAACAGCAAGGTTTATTTATTTACTGTGGAAAAGAAATGCCATTTTTCAGCCAATTCTAATAACTATGATGAAATCAAGTGAGTTACATTGATGTGATCATGGCAGAATCAGGATCTGTATTTTTAATGACTTTTCAAGGTGCCTAGAGCCGTGTATAGGCATCTTTATGCATCTAAGTCTAAAGAAATAAAAAGCAGATAAGAGAGGTCCCTGTGTAGAAGGTGCACAACCACCAGCGCTGCTGCCTAGTGGTCAGGTGGTGGTTGGCAGAACATCTCCCCATTGAAGCACATTCCTGTCCTTCAGAACCCTCATCCCAAGAGTTTCCAGTCCCCCCACCCCCACCCCGATAGCACAGAGGCTTTGAGAGCTGGGTCCTTGAACAGCCAATCTTTTCCAGCTGGCCTCTCACCAGAGGTGAAGGCTCTTCTTGTTGTATTGTCCACTCAGAGTGGGTAGGGGAACCCAGGTCCACCTTCTTCACCGTGCTCCAGTCCTGGGCGCAATGGTGGGCAGTTTGTGGTGCCAAGCCACTGCCCCTCCTCCCCAGACCATTTCCTACCCCAGTCTCCTTCAGCTTCCCAGAGTAAATCACTCAGTCAAGGTTCTGACCCTCACACTCCATCCCCTGCTTCTTCTTTGTGGGTGTGCACAGGGCTACATTGTCAGGTCCTGGGCAATGAGCTCTTGAGTAGTACTTTTCTCTCAGATCAGCCATCCACTCCCTACCTCTGAACTGCTCTGCTTCCCTTTTTAAAGCCATGCCTTCAGGCGGGGCTGCGTGGGCCCAGAGCTGATCCTTAAACCCTTGCTCTCCGGTGTTGGGTTTGTATATCCCATCACTCCCCCCCATATTTATTTCAGAAATGCTTTAGTGATATGACTGTGGGTTCATCCAGAGTTTACTAGAATAATTATTAAGGATCCGGTTCAGCTCTCATTGAAGTCAATGGAAAGATTCTTGTGACAATGGAATGACTTCAGTGAGAGTTGGATTGAGACCTAAGGAAGGAGAATGTCCCATAATGTGCATAAACCCTAATCTGCACTAGTATTTGTCCCTGAGGCTTTCTTTCACACTTAAAAGCGTCAGGGAATTAGGTGAGCCAGAGTGCAGAATCACGGCCAGCTCCTACAAGCTGGTTCCGTTATTCTAGACAACTATCTAGTATCCTAAAAGCCAGCTGGCACAGGAGGGCTCAGCAATGCAAACAAGTTTCGGGGTTGCTCTCAGCTAAAGCACATAAACTAAAGAGCTTTCCTGACACACATTACCTATAGCACCTGAGGCCTGCTCAGGGCCCCCCTTAGTATTGTGGAACCCAGTTGGTCCATGATCCGAACTTTGCTTATTTCATCTTGCCTGTTACCTCAGACAGGATCATGCCACAGCAGGTTGTTGATAGCTCTGAGCACAGGGCACTCACTTGCTATGTGACCTTCAGCAAGGTACTTAACCTCCCTATGCCTCTGTTTCCCCATCTTACTTCACAGGCTTCATTCATTAATGCTCATAAAGCTAAGCATTGCTACATGAGAGCGCCGCCTAACCATATGTATGTCAACGCATAGCCGATCTCTCCAGTTCTACAGTTGTTGTTGAATGGTTGGCTGGTTGTTTTTGTAGAGCAAGTACTTCTAATTTTAGCAAAATAAACTATAAAACTTCTCTACTTGGAGTATTTTGGGCTAGTTTGTATCCCTGTAGAAGGGGAAGGCCCATCCGAGCAATCCCATAAGGGAGAAAATCCTGTTCCTGATTCCCATCAGACAGGCATCATATGCAGGTGAGTTTTTTCAGAGGGGGAAAAATTAAACTGCCTGAAATACCTTTGATACCAAAGGATTTATCTTTCTTTTCAGTAGGGAGTTCTACCAGAACACTTCTCTTCTCATTGGGGGGAATTAAATAGAGAAGAATTTCTCTACTAGGATTCAGTCTCTGAAAGTTGAGGCCTATGGAGTACAGTTGTCCAGCTCCCTGAGGCCCAATTGAGGAAAGCACTTAAGCATGGGTGTAAGTTCCTTTAAGTTCAATGAGATCTAAGCATGAGCTTAACTGCTTTTCTGAAAGAGCTGGTGATCCACACAGTTCTAACAGCTACAGGGTGCAAGGAGCCAGGTAAGTGTTGGCTATCCTAGGCCAGGATCCCAGTGTACATAGGATCAATCACGTCTTAACCTGCCACTGCCTGTGATGTTGGTAGATATTATTTTCATTTCCCAGATGGATAATTTGAGACATACTTAAATGAAGTAGCTTCCTTGTCCAAAGCCACCCAGCAAGTTAGTTACAGAGCTTGGAACAGACCTTGGAATGCCCTGAGTCTTGTGCTCTATCAACAAGAACACACCCATTTTCACTGTTTACAGTGGGACAAATGAAAACACCTATTTTTCAGTCATTTTCTGATGTGTTTTTTTGGGGGGGAGGCTAAAATTGTCCAGACTTGGTATCTGCCCAAAGATGAGTATTTTGGGAGATGCTGAGCAAAAATGCTTCAGCCATCGCAAATACGTAGGAGTAAAGTGACCCATTTCCCCATGACTGCTCAACCAACCAAAATATTCTGTAGCTTTTATTTATTTAAAAACACTGCTCTAGCTGGAGAGAAGAAGCTGAAATTTAGTAGGGAAATAGCTCTTAGTGAGAAACCATTCATTTCAGTGTTCCAATGAACACTGATTTTTATTTGATTGGATTATGACCTATTAAAAAATCACTCTGCACATGTACAGTACAAATTCTAATCAGAAAATTCTACAGAACTGTAAAGTGTGCAGCTACGGACAGCCATTCTGTTCACATGTGAGTGGCTGATTTATGGCAGCTGAGCATTTAGTTCTTTGGAGAAGCGAATGAGGCAAGGGCTTCATGTTCACTGTGCACATTAAGACAATGAAAAATACAGAATAAAGATATATAAGTAATAGGAAGGAGGGAAGGGAAGGAGGCATAAAATCACGAGAAACTTTTAAAATGATTTAACATGACGTTTGACAGCAAAATCTCAGTTATTAAAAATACACAAGTTTTGGATACATTGCATAAAAATGAGGCTGACCATGTTTTACTGGAATTCCCATAGCTAGAACACACACCTCTGCTCACTAGAAGGAAGAAGTGGTAAAACATAAGGGACTACATAAAAGTTAGTACAGAAACTGGTTGACAAACTTCAAGTGAAATATTTTCTTGTTGGAAATTGACAAAATCCCATTTTCCATGGGGGGAAAATATCAACTTCAGCATAATCTTCTACCAGGAAAATCTCTACGTAAAACACTTTGGTTTGGGCCAACCCATCATGTACTTGAACTGATGTTTTACCTTCTAGGAGTTACAGTTCTGGCTCCCTCATGTTCTGAATCTTCCATAGGGACCATGGTCCCTGGCTAGATTGCATCTTGCATCATGCACCACAGTCTTTGTCCCTTTGGTTGAATCACTGCAGAGCATCTTGTGAGTCCCATGGGGCCACAGTGGGAGACTGTGGTGCGTTGTGGAAGTAAGCTTCATAACAGAGAATGGAGCTGTGATGGACCTGGAACGGCAAAGCCTATTAAACACCATGGCAGTACAGGTGAACACAGAGATTACATCAACCAAAAACAAAATATTTTGAGATTTAAAAATAGAAATGTTTTGGAACTTTTCATGCCACAGAAAAGTTTAGATATTGACTTTTGCTTTTGTCCTGAATTGGAGTGAAATGTCCAAATATCAGAATTTTCCATGGGATGAAAATTCCATTTTTGATCAGCTCTAATTATTATTACCAATGTTGTATCTGCCAGTCTGACTCAAGATCTCCCGTCCACAAAATGACCAGTGATAACTTGCTTAGTTTGCATGATCAAAGAAGAGCACCGCATCAGGTGCTGCAGCTGTTGGCACTGCACTCACCTTTAGAAGACTGAAACTTGAAGCTTTTACTTGAAACTTTAGCTTTTATATTGCCAGGCAGTAGGCACTATCCATAAACTGCAATAACAATGACACTTAGCATATATAGCACTTCACATTTTGAAGTTCAATACAAACATTAACTGATCTATATACACTGGGGCATGGTGAATAGTTATTAATTTAACTAGCTTTTATTTTTCCACTGCTATTTACTGCTTTTAACATTCAATAAAATGGTTACAATGCTGAACTTGAGGGATGATGCTGTATAAATTTCATAACAGATTTTTTTATTTTCAGGAAGTCAGAAGACCTCACACTTGATTGAGTTAGTTTCAGAGATGTGCCAAAATGACATCAACACGACAAACTCGGTCAACTGCTCTGTTGATGACTTCAAGCAAGCTGTTTATCCCACAGTATATCTCACAATATTTCCCTTAGGTGTCTTGGGAAATGGCGTTTCCATATATGTTTTCCTGAAGCTTTACAGGAAAAAGAGTCCAGTGAATGTTTTCATGCTGAACTTGGCTATTTCAGACCTCCTGTTTGTGTGGACTTTACCCTTCCGGGCCTCCTACTACCTGAGGAACTCTCAATGGGTATTTGGGGATATATTTTGCAGGATTGTGTCTTATTCCTTGTATGTCAATATGTACTGCAGCATTTATTTTCTAACTGTGCTGAGCATTGTTCGTTTTGTGGCTATTGTTCATCCTTTCAAACATTTGAAACTAACCGCCATCAAGTATTCTAGAATCATATGTGCGGTGATATGGGGTTTTGTGATGACAGTTAGCATTGTGCTGCTGTTCAAGGGATGCACCAGCCCGGAGTACCCATGCAGGTGCTTAGATCTCCAAGAGGAGAGCGTAAAGAAGATGCTCGTGATGAACTGTATTGTCCTGGTAGTGGGTTTCTTCCTCCCATTTTGCACAATAATTTGCTGCTATGTGCTTGTGATCAAAGCTTTGCTTAAGCCCAGGGTTCCAAAAGCGAAGATAAGAGCTTCTCATAAGAAGGCAGTGTCAACCATCGTCATCACTTTATTCATGTTTCTGCTTTGTTTCCTGCCATATCACATACTAAGAACTGTCTACTTGCTGGACAAGTGTAAGGTCATTATGGTCAACTCTTGCAAGTTGCTGGCTAAAGGGACAGCCATCACTCATTCCCTTGCTGTAATGAATAGTTGCCTAGATCCTGTACTCTACTACTTTGCTGGAGAAAACTTCAAAGAGAGATTCAAAAGTATATATAAAAGATAGAGGATGAAGAATCAAATGGACATTCCTTATTGGGAGTATTTTCTAGTGATCAAACCCCAGGACTAGAGGTTGAAAGATCATAGTTCTTTTAATCTATGCCACTGACTTGCCATGTCACCTGGGGTGAATCACGTAACTCTGTGCCTCCATTTCCCTATCTGTAAAGTGTGGCTATTCAGAGGGGCTAGTATCTCAGAACACCGTGTGAATTTTCTTCATAAACAATTGTAAAGGGGTCCAAGATCCCACCCTGAGATCATGCCTATTTCTCTTCCACCTAGTAAAAACCAGCCAAAAAGAGGCTTTTGTCCTTTAAGAAGCCCTCTACTCCAGAGGACTTCATTTACTGGTATCACAAACTGACAAAATAGACCTTTAATTTTGGGAAACAGACTGGGTCTCTAGTTTTGTCATCTCTAAACTCTTGCTTTTCTCTCCCCAAAAGCACCTACAAGCCCCTTGCATTCTGGGTCCACCTGTTCCCCAACCCTGGGATTACTGGTCCCTCCATCAGAGTTGCCTCTCCATTGGCTACTCCAACCCTCAGAGCATAGTCTCAGTGTTTTTCAATACCCTGCTCCCTCCCTAGGCATTACCTTTAATTTCAGGCCTCTTTTCTTTAGTAACACCTCTTTTTTT